GATTATGTACAAGATTATGTACATGCGGAGCAAATGCGAGGGCGAGGCGGATGCTTCCTCTTTCACCATAGCACATAAGAAAAGTACAACCAAGTACTCAGATACTCAGGTAAATACTCGAGTTTATTCAAGGCCTTTCCACAAGAGGCTCTTAGAGCCCAGTCAGTACAGAATACAGATGCAATGAGACACTTAACCCTATTAGTGGCAGGCTCCTGGCTACCCCTATTAGTGGCAGGGGGCTGTTTACGACCCCACCCCTGATATCTCGAGATCTAACGGGCCGATTTTCAAAATTCAAACGGCATTCGATTTCGCTCAACGTGATCTACATTTCTAAAAAATAAAAATAAAAAATGTCAATAGGGGGGTAGAGGGGGGTAAAAACGGGCAAATTGCAGATACATTTTAGACTGTTTATCACGGCCAGGTTTCTGAACCAATCTTAACGCAACTTTTGCCGATCGGTAGAGAATGAACCAGGAATTTACATGGATCCTAAAAATATGCATTTTCAAAAATCATAGGCGGATACATATCATTGAGATTGGGGGTACACAAAAAGTATAGTAAATAAGGTTTTTGTTGGTACTGTTTCTAAAAAGGGTGGTAATGGTCTTGTTATGTTACAATTTTCTTATGAGAGAACGACTACAATTGTATTGGTCATGCATAGGCGGTGTCAGGGCACCTATGTTGGGAGGTAAAACATAACCCCCTTTTTGGACGCCTGGATCCGCCTATTATAGCAAAAACGTGTCAAAAGAGGATGCACAATAACTTTGAATATGTTATCACATGATACCTTTCATTCACTGTTCGTAAAACTGGTGCATACAGTTATAATACATCAGCATCGTGATCTTCGCCCAAATGACTCGCTTCACGAATAGGACCCCCCAATTCCCAGTGCTCTAGAGCCGCCCTTGGTAAAGTTATGATTTTGAAATTTTCAGGGAATGTGCCCAATTTAGTTTAAGGAAAAGTCAGAAAATGTCAGCATCGTAGCTTCAGAGGTTTCGGAGATATTCCCGAAAAACCTGAGGGGTGGATGAAAACAACCCCCCTGCCACTAATAGGGTTAAAGTGAGTCGGGGCGCCGAAACAACGTGGAGAGTGCGCTGTCCGCGAGCGAACGTTCAGCGCGTCACGACGAGCGATCATCTCCCGAAGGTCCGGCCAGCCGAGCGCGGCGAGAACGGGGCTGATGTGGTCGCATCGGCGGAGACCCGTGCTAGCCGAGCTGCGAAATGGAGGACTTTTTGCAGCCCGGCGAGACGGGAGTTGGTGGCTCCACCGGCCACCCCACATTGACGAACAGTGCTGGAGATAAGGAAAGATGTGGGCAAGAACGAGGACCTTGTCCATAAGGCTGCGCCACAAGCAAAACGACGTCGGCTCTGGCCGTTTCGAGCCGCTCATGCTGTGATTTTCCGTAAAACCATAGATAAACTCGCTCGCTGCGCTAGCTCGCTCGTTAGCAATAATAATGACAGTCACACTGCTACAGTAAAATGTATAACCTAAAGGTGATCCTGAATGTCTAACATGATCTTGGTCCTGAAGTCTATGAGCGTCACCCGACTATAAAATCCATTGGGTCCGACGAGATTTCAGTGAGCGTGTCCGGCCTCCAGATCAGCCCGTGGTTGTAAATGGTCCCTGGACCGATAGTTTATCGCCAGAGCCACAGTCCAACATATCGCCAGGCTCTCTTAGCTCTACAAAGTATCCGGTAATAAATACTGAAGCTAAGCCCGTATAATGTGGGCCCAGTTCCCCCTCGGTCAAAGGGAATGCCATTGGTCAGACCAGGTCGTTGGATATGCACGACGCTCGTCCTGAGGCGAAGGTTTCCTCTGAAAAGGCTCGACGGATTCCTCACGGTGTCGGAACGTTTTAGGCCGCGGGGAGCGCTTCGCGTGCACTGCAGAGCCGGCCTCCCTGCACGGACCGCGGGGTGGCGGGCCGGGAGCAGACACTTCCGGCGTCTCGTCCCGACCTCTGCTGGAAGTGGCGAGCGGCTCCGTCAGCGCCTCAGTTACGCGTTAAGTGAAACTGCCGAGGTCGCCCCAAATGCAGCGTAATGCACTGTTGGCGCCGCCTCCAATGAGCTTTAGTGCGGTATGCTAGCTGACGTGGACGCCGCTGCAGCCATGGAGGAGGACGGGGATGGAAGGACTGTCCGTCTTCAGATGAGGTCGTGCGTGGGTGGGGGAGGGGGAGGGGTGGTAGTCGGATGGGCTGGTGCTTCAGCACTTCATAGGCGGGAATGATTTACGCTAAAAGCAAGAGACGGATAGTCAATATAAATCACGACTGCAGTCAATGACCGCGAAGGGTGGGAAGCTGCATCCCACTGGCAGGCGCTGCGAAGGGGTATAGGCATACATTATGCAGTATGTACCATTGCAGGTAGCATTGTACTCAACTCATCATTTAAGTATGAGATAATGCTTTATTGTATTCGCCAAAATATACTTTTCCGTCGTCATGCTCACACTTTCATAAATTGCAAAGCACGATTTTTTTTGATGTCATTAAGTTACCTCTATTCCCTATCAATGCTTGCTTATTAGCATTTATTGGCTCGGATTACTGTTGTTAATTAAAATAAAAGGCCTTCCCACATCAATGCTTCTCCTGTAGCCCATAAAGCACCCATATTTTTGCCAGAACTGACAACATCCACTTTCCTCAATGTTCAACATTTCATTAGATCAAATGCACGTGAAACGAATGTTTACATACGAGTACAAAACAAGACAGGCGCATGATCAGTCTCAAATCTGTCTCCCGTGCCATTGCATCATCCATCTATGTGCGGAGCACTGATCAGTGATCACTCACCAAACAGAAGACAAAGCGTCAACCTACCCCGCCCGCTCCAAAGTGGGTGTCAGCAGCAGGGGCCTATTTTACACGGCGTCTGCCAGTTGGCCTTGTACCGGCGACTGGCGGCTCAGGTGCGGCTGACAGAGCCCCTCGCCCACCCTCGCCGCGCCTGTCTGCAGTTTACCTAGCCCGCTGTGCGTGGAAACGAGAGGCAGATTCGCACAGCGAGAGAAACCAGAGCGCGGCTCGGCGGGCCCGTAAATAAACGCCACAGTCGCCCGCTCGCAAAACTGTTTACCGGCCGCCAGGTCGGTCGGTCGGCCGCGACTCAGGGAGGCGGGAAGGTGGCTGACAGCAGCGGGCCGGCACGGGACACTGTGACTGCTATTTACTGCCAATGGTAGCACACAACCTCTGCGGGAAGTGGACGGTATTTCCAGTAGAGAAAGCCGGCGTGAAACACCGCATCGCTAGTCTGAGGCAAAATACGTTATCTAATTTCGAAAAGTCGGCCATGACCAACAGTATAATTTATGGGTCATATCCTAATAAGAACTTATTTCACTGGATGGAGATGGACTTGAATCGGATAAGAGGCTGCGATGTGCTGGCAGCGTATAGCTATCGGTACTGCATGCTAGTTAGGACCTGTCTACATGGCAGGCACCGGGCCAATGAAATCAGTGGCATCCCGGTAGTTTCCGAGTCGGGCCAATGTCTCAGGAAAGTACCTGCTACGAGCAGGGGAACACCTGAAAGGGGTCGTCGGTGCCTTCCTCATTCCTGTCGCCCCTTCCAGGGATAAACACTGATGCTCCTCTGGGACACCCACGAAACCAGACAGGCACGTGGGTCGGCGGTTCGGTCGGCCGCGGGATGCCCCGTATGTACACACGCCCCGCGGAGTGGCGAGACGGCGTGCGGTGTCGTCGTCCCCGGCGCTGCCCCGAGACGCGGCGGGCTTGGACCATCATGGGGATTGTGCAAGAGGTGATGAAGTAGGTATAAATAACTACCGTCTGCACAAATTGCACCAAGTGACTCATCATTTGAAATAAGGTAGACCGGGACAAGTCGCCCCGCCGAGGTAAAACGCCTCACCGATGTTTCTCGGTACTGGCATGGTTTTGAGGAAACCATTCTTTCAACGTATACCTAATATAGGTATGGTCATTATATGAGCAGACTTGAAAGCAATAATGATACTTCTTTATAAAATATCCCTCGCCGGACCTATTGGTTTTCTACATACGCGCCGGCCGAGGGGGGGGGGGGGCGGGTACGACCCCCCTCGCCGTTTCGCCCCTGGTGAAGCTAGCGCGTCGCGGAAAAAACGAGCGTGTGCGCCGTTACGAGACGCAGTGATTGGTACCCGATTTTAAGGTCCTAGGTCAACCGGTGACCTCTGAGGTCAGGTCAAGTGCCCCAAGGTACGGTTCAGTTTTTGGTGAATAACGTTGCAAAATACGGCCGCAGAGCCGCGATTTTGGCAGCATCGTGTTTGCCTCGCTCAGGCGCGTCGAATGATATACTTTTTGTTCGGGTCAAGTCAACTTAGGGTGTTGACCTCAGGTCAAGGTCAGGTCAGCACCCCAGGTCACGAAGTTGATCAAAAGAGGTCCTATCGCATATCATTCGATTCGGCAGGTCTTCCTGAGTCCATTGGTGGCTTTCCCGACTCGCTAGCTCAATTTGATCAAGAGTTATTGACGAAACACTAATAATATGACCTTGATGACGTCATAAATGACGTCACACAAGGTCAACATTGCAAAAGTGACTCATCCAGCCATGCAAGGAGTGCATCAAATCACGATTCTGTGTGCTTGAGATAGTTGGAGATCGTTCCCGGCGCCAGAATAGCAGTTTTCATTTTTCCCCGTTGACTTAGGTAATATGGTGAGGTCACGAAAATGACCTGACCTCATATGACCTTTAGGAAAAATCCGAGATATACAAGTTGTGAGACTCATAATGGATACTAGATCCTGAAAGTTTCATTTCCCTGTGACATCTCCTCTGGCAGTGAGGGCGTTGCGAAGTTGCGACATCTGAAGACCGTGCAGAGGTTCAGTTATGACTTCATAGGTCAGTGACCTGGTCCTGACCTGACCCGAAAATTCCGTTGGTTTCAAAAGATCCAGCTTGAATCAAAGGTCATGTAGTAGATTGCCCCACCCCTGGCTGCGCCAGTGGCTCATGTGCCGCTGTACCTGGCGCCGCCCCTGACTCGGCCCGCGGCGCACGGCCTGAGCCGAGGCCGCGGTTCAATAAACCAGTACAGAACGGACCGCCGTGGTGTAACATTGGCGACGAGGACGCGCGGTTCGCGTGGAACTAGCCAAGGATGGCTGGTGTGGGGAGAATGGCGGAGTTCGACCCACAGGCCGAAAGTTTCGGGACCTATTCACGGCGCATGGAACAATTTTTCATCGCTAATGGTGTAAAGGAAGAGGAAGAAGTGCGTCGACGAGCAATCTTCTTGAGTGTGGTGGGCAGTGACGTGTTTAGCCTACTCGAGGACCTGATCGCGCCGGCCACGGTGAGCTCACTTAGCTACAAGGAGATCATCAAACTCCTGCTGGGACATTTTGAGCCGGCATCCTCAGCAATCGTGGCACGGTTCAGCTTTAATCGCGCCGTGAGAGAAGACGGAGAGTCTGTCTCGGCATTTGTGGCTCGTTTGCGTCGGTTGGCCAAGCCCTGTCATTTTCTGAGTGAAACACTGGAGGAAATGCTGAGGGACAGGTTCGTGTGCGGCCTTCAAAATGCACATATTCAAGCCAAGCTGCTGAAGGAGCAACATCTCTCTCTGGCGTCGGCTATTGACATCGCCCAACTCAGCGAGGCGGCGGACGCAGACGCTTCGCTGTTGAGCGGAGCGGTCGCGGCGGATGACGTCATCCACGCGGTCAGCTGGCACGGTGCCAGGAGGGGCGGCGCTGGAGGTCGAGGCGGCGGCCGCGGCCGCGGTCGCGGTGGCTGGATCAGCAGCGGCCAGCAGCGGAATCTGCAGCAGCCCAGTCCCAGGACGGGTGGCGAGGCTGCAATCTTCACTGGATCTTCACCAGGACGGGTACGAGGCGGTGGCGACAGCGGACGGCGTCGGGGTGTCGCGCTCCGCCAGCCGCAGTGCCCGTACTGTCTGCGACAGCAGCACGCGGAGACGGAGGACTGTCCGGCGCGGCGGCTGCGCTGCTATCGGTGCCACGCTGTGGGGCACGTGCGAGCCGCCTGTCGTGCCGGCTGGTCTCCGCGGGTGTATCATCTCGACGACGATGGTCTGGAGGCATTCCGAGACGGCGGCGGGCCCGGACCGTGGACTGAGAACCACGGCTCCGGGGTGATGGACACGCGCCAGTCGTCGGGAGCGGCCGCTGCCGGGGAGTGCCGCGCAGCTGCAGAGGAATCGGGTCCTGCTTACTTGGAAGGTACGGTCTCAGGTGACGTGTCTGGTGGTGAGCCTGGGGAAGTAAGGCAGGGGCCGGACGATGATGTGTATTTTCTGTTCAAATCTCGTGAGATTGGTGGGACCGAGCGGAAACCACCATTGTGTGTTGATGTGTTTGTGGATGGGAAACCGGTACGAATGGAGGTAGACACTGGGGCAGCGCTATCGGTTTGTTCAGAGCAGGGGTACCGAAAGATTTGGCCTAAAGGGGGACCGGTGATTCAGCCATGTACCAAAGTGCTGAAAACGTACAGTGGCGAGATATTGCCGAGCGTGGGACAGGTGCAGGTACAGGTCAGATATGAGGGTCAGGCTGCTGATTTGTCTCTGATTATCCTGGAAGGTTCAGGTCCGTTTTTGTTGGGAAGGGACTGGCTGGCCAAGCTCCGACTAGACTGGCCAGCTATTTGTCGGCTGTCTACCGAAGCGTCGATTGAGGGTCTCGTGGCTGAGTTTGATGATGTTTTCAGCCCACAACTAGGACGCTACGCGGGCGATCCGGTGAGCATCGAGGTGGATGCCGGAGTTCAGCCGCGCTTTTTCAAGGCTCGCCCGGTGCCCCTGGCGTACCGGGAGCAGGTGGAGCACCAGTTGCAGGCCGAGATCGATCGGGGCTTGTGGGAGCCCGTGAAATCGAGTAAGTGGGCGGCACCGCTAGTGCTAGTGCCGAAATCTGACGGGTCAGTGAGGATTTGTGGGGACTACCGTCTGACCATTAATAAAGCGGCTCCGGTGGAGCAGTATCCTTTACCGCGTTTTGAAGAGCTCTCAGCAAAGCTCCAGGGGAGTACGGTGTACTCAAAGGTTGATCTCAAATCGGCCTATAATCAGCTCCCTCTAGACGAAAAATCGCGAGAATATCTTACCGTCAACACTCTAAAAGGCTTACTGAAGCCCACGAGACTTGGGTTTGGTTATTCATCCGCACCAGCACTTTTCCAAAGAACGATGGAGGTGCTCTTAGCGGGTATCCCAGGGACATGCGTCTTTCTGGATGATGTCGTAGTCTCGGGTAAGACGCTGCAGGAGCATAATGTCGCACTGCGAGCGGTGTTGACGCGTATCCGTGAGGCCGGACTGCGGCTTAACAAGGACAAGTGCGTTTTCGGAGCTCACAGGGTGGTGTACCTGGGTCATCAGATCAGTGGTGAGGGTGTCGAGCCGACAGATGACAAAGTGGAGGCGATCACAGCGGCCCCGGAGCCGGAAAATGTGTCCCAGCTGCGCTGCTGGCTGGGACTGGTTAACTTCTATGGGAAGTTTCTGCGTGGTCTGGCCACTACGCTGTCACCACTGTACGCTCTTTTGCGAAAGGATGCTGTTTGGAGATGGGCGGACGCGGAAAAGGAGGCATTTCAGGATGCCAAGCGCCTGTTACGGAACCCTCCCGTTCTGGCACACTTTGATCCTCAGTTACCGATCACGCTGGCATGTGACGCCAGTCCGGTGGGGATCGGTTGTGTCCTCAGTCAAAAGACGCCGTCCGGCGAGCGCCCAGTAGCGTATTATTCGCGCACGCTCAATGAGACGGAGCGGCGTTACTCGCAAACTGACAGAGAGGGCTTAGCGGTGGTGGCAGGGGTCAAACATTTTCACTTTTATTTAGCTGGAAAGACGTTCGTTATCCAAACGGATCATAAGCCCCTGCTGGGTTTAATTGGCGAGATGAAACCCCTCCCGCTTATGGCTTCGCCGAGAGTGATCCGTTGGGCGATTATGTTAGGGTCATATGACTATCATCTGGAGTATATACCGGGCGCGAGACAGGTTCATTGTGACGCTCTGAGCCGTTTGCCGGTGCCGGGGGACGTGACGTCCGTGAGTCCCGTGCCGGCGGAGACCATTCACTTGCTGGAATTTCTGGATGATTCGCCGGTTTCTGTGGCTCAGATCCGCAGTTGGACAGAGCGAGACCCAGTGCTCTCGGCGGTTTTACACTTTGTTAGAGATGGGTGGCCACAGCAGTCGGCGCCGCTGGGCCCCGAGTTCCAGCCGTTCAAAAGTCGGGCGGCAGAGCTCAGTGTGCAGGATGGGTGCATCTTGTGGGGCTCCCGAGTCATCGTTCCGACTCAGGGGAGGAAACGGGTACTAGCCATGTTACATGAGGGGCATCACGGTGAGTCACGCACAAAAGCTTTTGCGCGCATGTACAGTGGGTCTATTTAAGATCTCCAGAGCCACCACGTGGCGCTACGGTCGGGGTAGGGCGAGTCCAAATCCCGAGGGAAGTGAGGTCACCGGTCATTGTGGGGGAAGGAGGGAGGGGGAGTGACGCGGTATCACGGCGCATGGGGCGTGCGTAGCGCCGGGAGTGGGCCGCCCAGGGCCGCCCGCCACTGCGCCGAGGCTGAGGGGAGGGGATGATGGTTGCGGCTGCGTTCACTCCGGTATGGTGGTATCCTGTTCATGTGGAACCGGCAAGAACGCGACTGAAGGGAATCATTATCTCAAACAAACGGGCAAGCCAGAGGCAGCGTCAGTTCCAGCCAAAATGTTGAACAATGATAATTGAAATCATAGGCGGCGGAACGGGGAGGGCACCGGGGCACCGTGCCCCCCTTTGATTTTGGCATTTTAACCCTCGCCGGCCGAGGGGGGGGGGGGAGGGTGCCGCCCCCCCCCATAGGGTTTTTTCGCGATAGCTCCGAACACGCTGGCGATAGAGCTGAAACTTGGCATACCTGACCTTTGATCCAAGCCGCATCTTTTGACACCAACCGCATTTTTGGGTCAGGTCAGGTCACTGACCTATGACGTCATAAGTGAACCTCTGCACGGTCTTCAGATGTCGCAACTTCGCAACGCCCTCACTGCCAGAGGAGATGTCACAGGGAAATGAAACTTGCAGGATCTAGTACCTATCCATTATGAGTCTCACAACTTGTATATCTCGGATTTTTCCTAAAGGTCATATGAGGTCAGGTCATTTTTGTGACCTCACCATTATAAGTCTATGGGGAAAAAATGAAAACTGCTATTCTGGCGCCGGGAACGATCTCCAACTATCTCAAGCACACAGAATCGTGATTTGATGCACTCCTTGCAAGGTTAGATGCGTCACTTTTGCAATGTTGACCTTCCGTGACGTCATTTATGATGTCATCAAGGTCATTTTAATTTTTCGTCAATAACTCCCGATCAAATTGAGCTAGCGAGTCGAGAAAGCCACCAATGGACTCAGGAAGACCTGCCAAATCGAATGATATGCGACATGACCTCTTTCGACCAACTTCGTGACCTGGGGGTGCTGACCTGACCTTGACCTGAGGTCAACACCCCAAGTTGACCTGACCCGAACAAAAAGTATATCATTCGACGCGCCTGAGCGAGGAGAACACGATGCTGCCAAAATCGCGGCTCTGCGGCCGTTTTTTTTTTGCGAAGTTATTCACCAAAAACTGAACCGTACCCTGGGGCACTTGACCTGACCTCAGAGGTCACCGGTTGACCTAAGACCTTAAAATCGGGTACCAATCTCTGCGTCTCGTAACGGCGCACACGCTCGTTTTTTTTTCCGCGACGCGCTAGCTCCACCAGGGGCGAAACGGCGAGGGGGGGTCGTACCCGCCCCGCCCCCCTCGGCCGGCGCGTATGTAGAAAACCAATAGGTCCGGCGAGGGTTAACATTAGCCCTATGGGCGTTGCATGGAAAGAATGGGACCAAAAGTTGGCAGTGCCCCCCCCCCCCTAATCGAAGGTGTTCTGCCGCTACTGATTGAAATCTAGGACGTATTCATAGCATGCAACTTTTCAGTCGATAGTTGCATGATGCTTTTCATGATGCATGATGAGGCTTTTCTAAACTGTTATTTGAGTTAGATATTTTTAATTTGGCACGTTCAGTTTTGGTGGGTTTTATCGGGTCGAAAAGAATCAGAAAAGAAAAAAGAGTTGAAATGGCTTCAGACAAATGACCAAAAATATTTTCCTAAAAAAATGAAACTTAGCTAAACGTTTATAAGCGATGATATTTTGACTTTTGGGGAGGATATTAGGGAAAGATATTGGGGAAAGATGTCATCGTGCTTAGCTGTGTTGCAGTAGAAGGAAAGGTTTTGGTGGTGTCTAGATAAAACCAGACCCGGGAGTGGGGCTCGAACTCACGACATCGCGTTCAGCTCACAGGTTACCCAACCTCAACGTTACGAGCACCTATCGCCCTGCGCAGCTTGCTCAGTGTTTCGGCTAAAGTTCGGCCAAAGTGTCTGACGTCTGTCAATGTCACGAGGCGAAACCCCAAGGTAAATGTCCGTCCCGGTAGCTCGGTCGGTAGAGCGTTGGACTCCATGTGCCATGTGGTGAAGGCGCACGTCCCGGTTGCAAAAGTCCGGGTTCGAAACGCGACGTGTGCTTGACGTTTTTTAGTCTCCTGACGGGTATGGTTGTGGTTGGTGGCAGGCCGCTGCCAGGCGAAGTCAGTGAGGGGACCGGCCGTGCGCGGCTATGTGCGCAATGCGCACGTCAAAATTTGGACTCTAAACCATAGACCATTTTGCTATAGACTAAACCTCAAAACCATAGTCTGCAATAGACCAGGAATTGCTTGATCGGAGGGTAGATGGCAGGGTCAACGCTTAACCCTCGCCCATGTAGGGGGGGGTTGGTGCAACCCCCCCCCCTGAGGTTTTTCGGAAATAGTGGAAAAACGGCGGCGCGCAGCGCCGCCAAATTTTGTGTACCTTATGGGGCAAACCTTGCGCATCTTGTGATAAAAAAAAATTTGACCGGGTCATGTCAGGTCACGGAGTTATGACGTCACAAAGGGAACAGCCTCCGGCCGGATTTTCACAAACTGAGTGCCAACGCCCGAGGTTTCCTGCCGGTGGTACGGTCATCGGTTGATGGATCGTGATGAAACTTCCCATGCATGTTGGGGCAAGTATTGGCTATCATATGGTATAAGAAACTTGACCGGGTCAGGTCAGGTCACGGAGCTATGACGTCACAAGAGGAACAGCGTCCGGTACTATTTTTGAAAAGCGCCCGAACCACTATTTTGCTAATTCTTGTCACCTCCATGGGAATATGCAGCAATATTAGCTTCTATAGGGAGCAAATGGACCTCCGAAATCCAAAAATACAATCAGATTTCAAAAATTTAAATTTTGATTTTTCGAATTTCTGCCGCCGACTGTGACCTTGCCGACTTCCGGCGCTCCCAACGCGCCATTTTTAGAGCTAGGGAAACGAAATACATACCAAACGATAGAGAATTGATCAAGGAACACGATAGTGAAGGTTTCAAGTCGATATCTGCCACCGTTTTGCCGCAATCGCCGCGGAAAGTTGAAAAAAGTCTATTTTTCCGAAAATTTGACCTTTGACCGGTCAAAAGTAGGTCAAATTTTGACCTAGGACCAAAAAATATACCACCAATCGCGAGATCTCGTTGAGAGCAATCCGTTGGTTTTTTCCGCTAAGCTCTACGACGCTCCGTTTTCAAACGCCAAGGGGGGGGGGTCGCACCAACCCCCCCCCTGCATGGGCGAAGGTGGCAGATCGCCGTTTACGGGCGAGGGTTAACCCGCGACCGCCTGGGGGGAGGGGGGGGGGGGGTCGGATCCGACCCCCCCTCCGTTTTTCTTGAATAACTCATGAACCGCTTACGCTATCAACTTGAAACTTGGCATACCTTCTCCCCCATCAATTTGACGTCTCCTGTGTAATTTGCAAGAAAATTTTTCCAATTTTTTTTTTAGATATATCGATTTTAGTGATGTAACTACATGGCGTTTTCAGTCAAAAAGTGGTAAATGTTTAAAAAATCACCAAAAATCAAGGTTTAAAGCAAACTGCAAATTAAGGACATGAATAGACACAGCTCAACGAGTTCTTTAAAATGGCTATCTCGGATTTTCCATAAAATGCTTTTTTTACCCCTAAAAATTCAAAAAACTATATTTTTGGAAAACAGCTAATAAAATCCAAAATTTTGAGAA